TTAAAGGCACACTATGCAATGCATAGTGTGCCTTTAAGTCATTCCCCTATTCACATGATGGTGGCAAGCTACATTGTAGCCACAGCTACCCTGTGGCTCACTGACAGAAGCAAGGCTGCCGTAGGCTGGCGCCACCGGGCCCTCTGACCACCATCAGTAGGCTATGTGGGGAAAGTGTTTTGCCCAAGGACACAACAACAATGAAAGCCTAGACCTGTGGCTTGAACCGACAATCCTCCAGTCGCAGGGCAATCTTCTGCATCCGATGCCACTGTTGCCCCAACATGAACAGACTAGATGAAGCTACTATGAGAGAAGGCATGCAGGACATAAAGTCAGGGGCTGAATGAACGAGCACAATTGGAGAATAAATTATAGAATGAAACAGTGAGGAAAAGTGGTCCCTATGTCCTCCAGCAGTCTAAGCCTATAACAGCATAGCTATAGAGATAGCGCAGGATAACCTGAGCCACTCTAAATATAAGCTTTATCAAAAGCTTACAGTTGGAGGCCGAGGAGCCATATACAGGGAGGCAAGTTACGGAGTGAAATTCACTCCATAATTATCTTGTATTTGTGTGTGACGTTTTCCAGAGCGTCTTGGAGGGGCTGGAACAGAAGAACCATGTAACTCAGACTCTGGGGACTCCAGACTCTGTGGTCCAGGCTGTGGTCCGGCAGGGAGAACGTCTCTGTGCGGAGTCCGATCCCCGGAAAGGAGGCTATCCAGCAGGATACTGAGCTGAGCCTCCCATCTGGTTCCTGTTTGCGCCCCCCACCCTCAGTGAACACACTGACAGAGCCACAATCTGAACAGAAAAACCACCGAGGAATGAATTTATGTTTACACTACAGGGACACCGCCGACACCTCTTCACTTTCACTGAGACACGAGAGACGACTCAATTTCATGACCCTTTTTTTTAGCAGATCTTCTCATTTAAATGATTCTAGTATTTTAAAGCAAACCTGTGGAGAGTATAACTCCTGGACACCAAGGAATTGATTTAAGCAGAGGAAAATGGCTCCAACAGGATCTGTTTTCAATAAAATTATTATGGGGGTAATTTGTTCCATTAATGCTTCAAGCAAAGAACACGTTTTGTATACAAAATTTGAGAAAGCATATTATTTATATAGAATTTTGAAAAAGCATAATCCAGAAATGTAATTTGTTTTAATAAGAAAAAAGGGTTTTTGAGTAATTTGACTTTTTTCTGTAATTTTGTTTTAATTTGTTTTAATTTTTTTAATACTTCTTAAAGATTTTATATTTTCAAATACATTTTTTTCAATGATAGTTTAAAAAAAAAAAAAATGTATACTTAATTTTTTTTTTTTTTTTTACACAATTACATTTTACAGATCACATCCTGTTGATTTCTGAGGGCGGGCATTTCTATTGGTCTGCATTCATATTAACAACAATCTATTGACCAATGTCAACAGCGTGTGTTTGATTTGGGCCAGAAGACAATGTAATCCGTAAACCACAATATAAAGAGAATGCAAATCATATTACTCAATCTGAAAAAGAGAAAATTTAAAAACAAATGCAAAAAATTATAACATCTTTAAATAAAATTGAAAAATCTATGGAAGAAGATTAGGGCCACTGAAAAAAAAAAAAGTTAACTGATTTTTAAATTTTATTTCAGTTTAACATGCTTTAATCTCAGAATTCTGACTTTAATCTCAGAATTCTGACTTTTTTCCCATACTAAACTGAAATAAAATTTAAAAATCAGTGAACTTTTTTTTTTTCACTGGCCCTAATCCTCTTCCGTAAAAATCTGTTTGAATAACGTTTGGAAAAAAATCCGGAAAAACTGCAAATTTTATCTTAAAACCATTTTTTGATCAAAGTGTTTCAAAGATTCTTTTCTGGAAATTGTTTTTTTTTTCATTTTTTGCAATTTCTAATTTCCAAAATGTGTGTTTTTATTCTTTTTTCTTTAATTGCATCTACAAAATATGTTCTCTGCTTGCCATAATGGAACCAAATTTACTACATTGATATTTAGTTATGAAATAACGCAGTTGGATTTATTCATGATGCAGAAATATTTTCTGGTTTCAGGAATCCTTTCAGTAAGTTGTCCATGTGGTGTTTTTTTAGGCCTCTTTTGTGAAGAAAATCTATTAAACTGTACGTTATGACATGTTGTCAGAAATGGAGGGTTTCCCTCACGTCAAACAGGTGAGAGGCTGCAGAGCTGGCAGGTCTGATGAATTCAAGGACATCTCAGGTTTGTTTGCCTGTTTGAACTCATTTCCATCTTTCTCCTGCTGCGAGTTGGTTCCACTGGAAGCTCGAAATGTTTTCTATCGTGACTCAACAGGGACGCCGTCAATCGATGGTTTTTAATATCAAGTAGGGGTTGAGTGAATGTATAGCATCTCCCAAAATAAGAAAACTTTTGCAGATATATTTTTCTAAACATGCATTGTTCACATGCGATGTTTTGTTGCCATGCTTGTTATTAAACATTTTGAAACAGAGATGTCTTACAGTAAAATGTCCCTTCTGAACTGAAATATTTACGTTGGCGCCTTTAGGTGTGAACCAACATTATAAAATCATAGGAGTTAGTACATCCCCTTTCTGGTCGATTTTGTCTTTTTTTTATACTTGAATTGTTTTCTCTAAATTTATAATTTTCTGAAACGCTAATTAGTTTTAAGCTTTGTAAAACTCTCTTCAGATTTTGAAAGGTTAGCTTGCGCCTCATAGCTGCTGTAAATATTAGGCCTCACATTCAGCATAAGACACGGTAGTGGTAGTGTCATGGTGAGGGGAGGTGGTTTTTCTTCATTATAAAAGAATCATTTAAACGTAGGAAAATTCTACCCAAGAAGAGGAACAAAACGAACAGGGCGACTAAGAATATAGTATTAAAGCAGTTTAATTATAACAACCTATAAAAATAAAAACTGATTTCAACCTATTATAAAAGAAATATGTCTAATACTAAAATGTGGCTGACTTGCCTTTAATTGTGCACGCTCTTCCCAGCGATGAAGCTTGACCTTCCTGTTCCCCTGACGGAGAACATCAGCTGGGCAATGTCAACATTTTAGACCCCATGGTCTGCTCTTACTCTGATAAAAAGATGAACAGGATTTATTACAAATTCATATGTGTGGTTCATACCATAGGACTCCAGACCCCAGAGGCCTATTTCACAAAAGCTGAAATTTCAAATCCAGGATAAAGGCAGGCTTAAGAAAGCATGATTAATGTGTCCTGGCTTTATCCCTCTCTCAAAGCCTAAAATCCCTGGATGTCTACAAAAAAACATAAAGCCATATATCATATTACCGTTAGCATGGTCTGAAAAAGGCTAGCTGCTAATAATAAATTACCATGGTCATTTATGTGTTGCTGCTATTGTGAAAGTAAATAAAAGCGTATTTCAGTCAGAATATCTGGAACACTCCAGCTTAATCCTCTATTATGGTTTTGTGAAATAGGCCTAAGTTTGTGTCACGATATATAAACTACTTCAGTTCACGTCCATCTGTCATTTAGATTCTTTTAAAATGTATAGCATAGTAAGAAATTAAAGTTTTATTGTGAAATAAAAATGTAAGGAGGTGTGTGTGGATCATGAAGTCTGGGCATCTCCGCTGCCTCAACAACCACAGATAAATCTGTATTTGCAGGAAAAGCATCAAACAATGCAAGATAGCGGTTACCTGAATGAATTTCAACATTTTGAAAATGACATTGTTCCTGTATTTACCTTAAGGGAAATCCAAAGTCATCCACTGATTGCTGGAAGAAGGCAACGGCTGTGGAGGCTTGTGTCAGAACAGGTGCTGTAGAAGCTGTTGGTTATTCAGAACGACAATTCTCCACGTATCACGTGACTTTTGGCAGAAACTTACCGCGGAGTGTGAAGAATTGTCTCGTACGCGAGGGGAGGCTGTTTTGTATGCGAGCAGAGATCGTTTTGTACTCGGGGACAATTTACAAATTATATTTTCAGTGCAATGTTAGAGTCTGGTTTGTGAAACTAATTTTTGTGTGTGTCCAGCATTTAAGGATAGTGTGTGACATTAGAGGAGAGTTTATTTGTGAGTGATAAGGTTTATTTGTGTGAAACAGTCTTTATGTGACCTGAGTATCAGGGTGTCATGATGGGTCTCTAGTGTATAAACCCACATGCAGAACACCACAGTAAAGGGGTAAAAGTTTAACAGTTTATTAAAGATGGACACACAAATAAACAAGAGCTGGTTCTGGTACAGGTCCGGGACAGCAGTCACTGTGAATCTGCAGAGATGGAGTGTTTGGTTAGCCAGGCAGCGGTGAAGGCTTGTTGATGTTTGATTCAGATTTGTACCTTGATGAGGTTCAGGCAGATCTCTGGAGAGGGGGAACCAATTGGGTCCAGAGACAATAGGTGCAGCAGAGAGCTCAGCAGCAGCAGCGTCTAGCTTCAGGCAATAGAGTTTCAGACCTTGAATGATGTCCTAGCTCTCCCATGAGAGCTGATTGGGGAATCCAGACTGATTGTCTTCAGGTTTGGCTTCCTAGGGCAGGCAGGCAGGTTTCCAAGCAAAAGCTCCTCCAGAGCTACAGACTTGAGTCTGACTTTCCTGTGAGCAGAGAAGACAGAGGAAAGTTAGAATCTTTACTCTCAAGAGCAGACTGAGATTCTTAACGAGAAACAGAGGCTCAGGTTCCGCTAACCATAACTGGTCAACACTCCAGCGAAGAAGTCAGGTCTGGCTGCTGCTTATGTAGGAGGTCTCCTGATGGGCTGATGATCCTCAGGTGTGCTGGAGGCTCCAGCCCAGGAGACCCACAGCGCTCTCTGATGGAGACAGGTGGCAGATCTCCAGATCCCAACACAGGGTGCATTTCGTTTAAAGAAAACAGCAGCATTTCATACTTCATTTATACAAATTTTATTAGCACTACACACACTAGATCAGAGGTCACGGATTAGCGGACCGCGGTCTGGATCCGGACCCATCTGCTCGCTAATCCATACCCAACCTGATTTAAAACATTTATAAATTACTGCATGTTGTCCGACGACAGTGTCTAGTTTCACCTGCGCCGCTTCTGTTGGGATCTGGAGATCTGCCACCTGTCTCCAGCAGAGAGCGCTGCAGGACTCCTGAGCTGGAGTCTTCTACACACCTGAGGATCATCAGCCCATCAGGAGACCTCCTACTTAAGCAGCGACCAGACCTGTCTTCAGCGCCGGAGGGTTGACCAGTTTTGGTTAGCAGAACCTCAGCCTCAATCTGAATTAAGAAACTCTGTCTGCTCTAGAGAGTAACCTGATCCTAATCAGTCTCTGTCCTCTCTGCTCACAGGAAACCCGACTGAACTCAGTAGCTCTGGAGGAGCTTATGTTTGGAAACCTGCCTGCCTGCCCGAAGAAGCCAAACCTGAAGATCCTCAGCCTGAATCTTCCAACTAATTCTCAGGGGAGAACTAGAAGAACAACTCAAGGTCTGAATCTCGCTAGCCTGAAGCTAAGCTCTGTCGCTGCTGAACTCTCTGCTGGAATCTCAGTCTCTGGACCCAACCGGTTCCTTCTCTCTACTCAACAGTCTGAACCTCATCAGGTACAAACCAAGATCCAAACACTGCCAAGCTATCTCTTCTGCCTGGCTAACCAAACTATCCCTCTCTACAGATACTCTGTGAAACCGAGTCCCGGACCAGTACCAGAACCAGTGCTTTGTTTCTCTGTGTTTTACATCTCTTTAATAAACTGTTAAACTTTTACCCTGCTTCGTGTGGTGTTCTGCATGTGGGTTTAATCACAGAGACCCATCATGACAGCTTCTCCTGTTTCTACGGTAAAGCCCTGGGGAGCGTCCAGCTCCAGGCTGCATGTGAACCAAATGAGCCAATGAGCTGTCAGTCTGGGTTGCTGCTGCTACTTTTAGACACAGCAGGCAAACCTGTGGCAAGCCGGGCGATGGGAAAGAAGGAGAAGACCATGAGAAAAAGAGAGCAGAGAAAGTGTGGACTGCTGGAAGAACTGCGGTGAACTGGTGAAAGATGTTATGATGGGTCTCTGTGATTAAACCCACATGCAGAACACCACACGAAGCAGGGTAAAAGTTTAACAGTTTATTAAAGGAAGGCAAACACAGAGTAAACAATGCTCTGGTTCTGGTACTGGTCCCGGGACTTGGTTACACAGAGTAATCTGATGAGGTTCAG